GAAACAAGAATTTCAAACTGTTGCAGTCAGGTGGTCTGTTTTTATGTAAAATAACCCTTGAATTTCAGAGACATACCCTCCACGCCTGTCACCAATCTCAAAAATGGCATTCAAGGCTTTGATTGCTGTCACTGTATTTAAAAAAGAATGTGTGTGTGTGTGAATAAAATTGAGTTACGGAGAATGACCCTTTGCAGGTCTGTAAGCGGGCAATACGTAAGCAGTGTAGTTTGGAGCAAATTGGGAAGAAATACTTACACGGTTCTGTGTTTACAGTTTCCTTTTCACCTGATTTATTTATTCCTTTTTCGCCAAGGAAAGTCTGTCATCTTCTCTTCAATGACTTGGTTGCTAAATCTTCTGTAATGCTGGCTCTGAACAAACATAATGTATGCTATTGCTGCACACTAGTGCTGTCGTTCGCAGATCCTGTTACCCATAACATTCTTAGTTGTATAAAGCATCAGTGTCATCTTTGAAGGCATAGTTTTTATGTAAAAGAATGATGTATTTCAATAGAATTATCAGGGAGTGCGTGGAGCATCCTTCAGCTTGTGAAAGATGTTTCAAGTGGGGGTAACACTGTACAGGGTGTGAATACCTGTCTGCAAGGCTTCCCCTGGGATGGTCAGGCTGGTTAGTGGCATGTGCTGCTTGATTCAGTAACTTTGCTGTACCTCTGTGAACCAGTCCAAGTTCCTAGTAAAGCACTGAGCACCTCAGCAATTACAGATCACTAAGCAAAGCACATTCTGTTGATAAAACATCCAGAATAAGGGGTTGCAATCTGCAAGATGCACTTAGGACAGTTAAATGTTATGAAGTCTAGGAACTTTTTATGTACCAGATGTCACTGCTGCAGTGAAGAGGGGAGGAATTTTTTACAAGGGCATGTACAAGACATGGAGGGGGAATGGCTTTAAACTGACAGAGGGGAGGTTGAAATTAGACATCAGGAAGAAGTTCTTCCCTGTGAAGGTGATGAGGCACTGACACAGGTTGCCCAGAGAAGCTGCCCCATCCCTGGCAGTGTTCAAGGCCAGGTTGGATGGGGCTTGGAGCAACCTCATCTAGTGGAAGGACTCCCTGCCCATGGCAGGGAGTTGGAATCTGCGAGGTCCTTTCCAACCCAAACCATTTTAGGATTCTATGGGTTCTTAACAGGACACTAATTGAGGTTCTTCTTCTGTATTTACACAAACATGAATAAAGCACTGGCTGTCAGAGGCAGGCTTGCACAGTCAGCAGGTCCGCTGGGGGAGTGTGGGTGCACTATAATGTGACCAGTGGGCCGTAATGGAAAGTGGAATTTTCCTCTCTGCCAGTCAGCACTAAAAGCTCTGCTGTCCCCAGTAATTAAATGGGGGACTACAGAGCATTCATGTACCAGCACTCTTGATCATTCTTTGTTTATTAGGAAGCTCCTCATGTGTAACTGTATGGTCTAGTACTTAATAGGTGGCTGGGAACATCAAGTGGGGACAACTCTTCAGTTTGCTTGGGATGTGTTCCTAATAAAATCTGTTGTTGTTTTCTTTACAGATTTTGGTGTTAGCGCATTTCTGGCCACTGGTGGTGACATTACCAGGAATAAAGTCAGGAAGACTTTTGTGGGCACACCTTGCTGGATGGCACCAGAAGTTATGGAACAGGTGAATTGTTTTTCCTAGTATCCTTTTGCCTGATCCTGGAATTCCCTGTTGTCAGCAATGGCCGTATTTACTTCAAACTAAAATGACCATTTGGCATCCTGTAAGACTTTCTTAAAGCCACAGGATTTTTGATTTGGCTGTTGTGGCCAGAAATATGAAGTGTTCAGTAGATTTTTTTGCCCTGTTGCTTCTCTTCGGGATTGTATCTAAGGTGAGATTGAGACAACTCAGCTGTTGTATGAAGAAGATTAATGTGCCTCTCCCTCTTCCGTAAATGTGAAGTAGAATATAAATAGTTTCACTTGTGGTAAATCTGCATGTATACAGCTTGACAATGTGCTTTTCTGCATTTTAGAATTTGGGGTTGCCAATTGCAACATGTCAGAGTGGGGAGTTATTACCATAAAATAACATGCACTTGACCTTGTTCAGGTTTTTAGTTTCTCTTGGCTTCTGGGTAACCATACAGTAAACGCTGAGGGAAGCTTTCCTCTCCGCCTTCCTCCTTTGCTCTTTTGGCTAGAGAAGGTCATGCTTCTTCCCGTTGGGTGGAGATATGTCACTTTTTGTCCTCCGCTACTTCTAGGCTAAACTATAGAAGCTTTGTCTGTCTGATTTCTGATGAAGAACACCTGGAAACTCTGTATAATGTGATATATCGTGGCCTGTGTCTGAGCAAGATGCATGAACAGTTATGCCTCAGTCCTGACAGGGCATTTGCAGTAGCTGCCTGTTGCATTGATGCTCAGTGCCATAAGCATTCTGAAAATTATCCGTTATCCCCTTAAAAGCAGTTTGACAGAAGGCTGGGTTTGTTTTCTTGACAGGTGGGCCAAGCAGAAATAAAACTGACTATAAGTATTTTTCATTTTTTCCTTTTTTTCCTTACAAAAGTCTTTTTAACAAAAATACTTGGGAAAAACATTTCTATTAAATCAAACCTGGCTTGTTACTTTTCTCCTTGCTGTTTACAACAAAATATTTTGAAGCTTGGAGGAAACTTGAGTAAGACCTTTCCTACACCTATATATCTAAAATGAAATGCAGCTAAAATAGGGGTTGGACTTTCATGCATTTTTCCTATATCTAAAACTTCTTGAGGGATTGAGATAATTTTGGGGTAGTTTAAAGCTACTATTGATGGAAGGCTTTCTTAGTATTTGGCCTTTTCAGTGGCTCCCCATGGTGGCATTGAGGGGTCGGTGCATTACAGCACTCCTGTAACCTCCTCAGAGTACAACGGGGCTAACACTGTAGAGTACAAGACATGCTCTCCAAGTCAAGAGCTATCTTTGCAAACTTGCTTCTGAATTTCTTTGCTGTCACATTCTTCTGGGTTTATGTTGATTTAAAAATAAATGAAAATAGAGTACTCAGTGTACCTAAAATCAGATCAGGGTTGTCCCTTGCTAATTTGCCCTCTGTGTCCTATCCTGGTGCAGCAGATAGCACAGCAGGCTGGCCAGGACCTAATGGTGCTGCTCCAGGCTCATTACAAGTAGGGTGGCTGCAATCTTCAGGACGACAAGGGAAAAAGATCTTACGGAGGGTGATAAAAAAGGGAGATAAAGGTTTTAGTGACAAAGTGGGGGTTTCTTGGTGCAGCAGATATGTTTCCAAAGGAGGCAGATTTTCTAGGGAGTCCAGTGCTACCTTGCAGTCCATGTACATCTACCTTGCTGCAAATATTAGATGGTAAGGTGGTATTTTTGGATACTGATGTGAAATCCTTCACTGTCCATTTGTATCATCTTGCTGTTTTCCAGTAGGTGTCACTCTGAGCCACTATATCCAACCAGGGATAAAGGACAAAGGGGTTGCTGTAGGTTAGCCTTCAATATGTAGATATTATCGACCCAGTTCCATGTGGTTTACTTCAGCATCATTAAGTTCCTTTAGTGTGTCAATACCTGATAGCCTGGCATTGTGTTTTAGTGTATGTTCACTTGGCAGATCTGTGGCAAAAAAAAGTTGATTAGGAAAAGAAATGTCTTTGATATAAACTAACTGCAGGGTGGTGACTAATATGTATTGGGCAGATGTCAAGATGAACTACTGTAGACAGCTTTGAACTTCATAGCTTTTATTTGCAAACAGGATTATGTGATACAGTAAAAAAACCCCCACAGAACATTTCAAATCCTTGTAGGGAATGGGGAGTTGTACAGTGTATAGATGTGCTGCAAAACTAACTGAGAGATAAAGCTAAGAAACGTCCCAGAGTTCATCTCAAAATGTAACAAATAGTATGAGGATGGGAAAAAAAACTCCACTCTTACAGCATATTTCTTCCTGCACTGTGTTCTTTTAAATAATGCTAGGTATTTGTGCTTGTTTAGTTAACTGACTTGAAGTCTGTTCATAATCGTGGCATCCATAAACTGAATTCAGGAAACCTTTCAGACTTTTAAGGCTTGTGAAAATGATACAAGATATAAACTCCTGTTGCTATAATAAATTTCAGTTCAACTATAGTATTATATGAAAAATAGTGCAAGAGGGATTTTTGTTTGTTTGCCAAATGTTCAAGATCATCTTAAAGGTAGTTTGGGGAACGTTTCTGGCTTCATCACAATAAGCATTTTTTTAAGTCTTGTTAAGTTAACTGAACACAATATCCTTATTAGCTTTCAATTAAATATTTTTCCATAGTCTAGTGAGAAGAAATAAAAACCATTCTAAGCAGCCAAAATGCTTTGATTTTTGTAGCTGCTCTTGAAGTTAGTACATAATGTCTCTCCCCTGCAGTGGAGAAAGCAAGTGCCAAAATATTACCTAATGATAATGAGGAAGTAACTGCTTTGGCATATGAAATATTTTTTCCTGTGCATGAGGGGAAGTAAACGCTATAAATTTTCCTGAACAGGTCTGTGTTTAATGTCAAGTGCAGAAGCTACTATTAATTAGTGGAGGGAAATACTAGTCCATGGACAGGAATGAGGGGCTGTTTACTGAGCTGGTATGTACTGAAGTTTCAGGATTGAGTGTGTTCACAGTCAGATTGATTAAGCGGTTGACTAAAAGTGTAGTGAGGCATATGTCCCAAGGGAATAATAGTCCATCTATTAACCATGGGAGTTTCATTATACTGTTTAATGACTCTCTGTGTCTTTGTGTGGAAGTTGGAGCCTGGGTTAAACCAGTGCCTCTTTGTGTTCTGCACATGGAGAGGTTTATGGCAAAGCAGTTCTAGTTGCACAGTCTATAACCATAATTTTTATCAAACTATGACTTCTAAACCACCTCCTTGAAGGTATAAGGAGCTGGGGGGAGAGGAGGGAGAAAACATTATTTCCGTCTCTTTAATAGTAGTGCTTCCTTTCCTGGAAAGGAAGGAAAGGGTGGAAGGATGCGAATAGGCTAAGGAAAGGGATTATAGTGTAGGATAGCAAGAGACACATGCTAACGTCCTCTAATATTTTTCAGGTCAGAGGATACGATTTCAAGGCAGACATCTGGAGCTTTGGGATCACTGCTATCGAACTGGCTACAGGGGCAGCTCCTTACCATAAATATCCACCGATGAAGGTGAGCAGGTTTCCAGATAATTGTGCAAGATAAAGGATCAGTGTGTTCTGAGAGTGTTTCCAAGAATGTGGCCAGCATGCTCTGTTGAAGAGTTTGTGCTCGTAACTTGCACTTGTGGATCACGATGTTCTGGGATTTATCTGAAGTCACCTTTTAAAAATAAGTCACTTAATCAGCATTGCCTGAAACTGCACAGTTCTTGTTTAGATCCTGAGTCTTGCCAGAGGCACCATTCTTGAGGTGTGTTTTAATCCTGGAGCCTCTGAAGGTAGCAGATGTTTTTAGGGCTATAAATAATGATTCAGAGCATGTTATCTAGCATCCAGTGACACTGGTATGGTGAACTATTCCATCTCCTGCACTGATAATCTTTCCTGATATCTCTCAGAAATCCTGTTACCATTTATCCAAAACAATGTCATATTTGTTTAATGCCAACACAGTCCTGTCAATCACTGAACCAGTATGAAATGGTGTGGTATTGGCAACATTAATATTTTATTGAACTTGAGGTGGAGGATCAAACAGGAGCAAGTGGAGAGACCTTGCAGTAACATCATCGCTTATGGTTAGACCAGTTACCTGGGATATGAGGCCTATGGGTGCCAAGTCCCTCAACTTCAGGGCAACCTTTCCTTTTTTGAGTCTTTTAACGGCAGGGGTCCTATGCAAGTTGGGTGTTACCTCTCTAGGACCTGGGTGCATCCCCTCCCACCCTGCAATTACAGTAGCATTTGGGAATCCAGTAGCTCCTAACTCATTAGAGCATGCATATCCATATATTGCTTTAAATGCCAGGGTTTTGCACCAGTTTAACCCTTGTAGAACACAACTAATTTTAAGATTTATGTCATCTCTGTGCAGGGACTGTTGAGTAGCTGAGTAGTTTAGAAACTCCATTAAAGTCTGCAACATACCAGTGATTGTGGCACAGCAGTGAGGAGTTCATGGAAATGTGTTGCCAATTTAGCTGTTGCTGTTTGCATTGATAACATCCTTCTGTGCTGTGATTATTGGTAGCCTTTTGCAGTAGCTTCTGAAAGCTCTACTTCTGTTTATTCTGTTTTGAATGCATGGGTTGTAGCTCTGAATACAAAGATTGCTTGTTTAGTATTATGTGTTGTCATATAGTAGCTAAAATTATGAATCTCCAGTTCTGTTAGGTAAGGGTTCCAGTCATACAGACTGCAAGAGGACTTCTGTGTTTTATTTGTTGAATGTAATTGTATTTCACTGTAGACTAATTTCGTTATGCAGCAAAATGACCTGTGCATTAAGTGACCCTCCAACGCGGGGACAGACACCAGGGAATTCTGTCAGAGGCTGTATAATTTCAGCTAGATTGATGGGCTCTTACTGCCCTAAGCAATGTAGCTGTTGAAAGCTATTTAAATGTGCTGCTTCCTTTTCTAAAAATAGGTATTCAACTGTATGTAGGTGACAAGTGAAAATGTAAATGAGTAATTTTCTTCCTTTTCTTCAGAATATGTGAGTGATTTGAAGGAAATAATCAGTTTGGCTTGATGGGTGCTTGTGTGAAAAATGCCTTCACTTGCTGTCACACTGGTACATGGAAGTGAACCCTCCTGTTTTGTTGTCCTTCTGCTTTTACGTTAATTTGCTTTCTAGCTAAGAAATACCTGCAGGGAGATCTAAAGAGAACCTTTGAATCAAATCCCTTGCACAAGTGCTCATCTCAAGTGAAGAAGGCTGGTAGAAGTTCTGCTGTGCTTACTCTTTAATTGCACCAAACAGTTCTGAAAGCACATCCCGGCCTCGTGTTTGGCTTGCAGATTACACTGTGGGAGAGGAGATGTGATGGAAAACAATAGCATAAATTGTTGAGTATAAATTAGCCAGGCTTTCAAAGGGACGGGGGTGGAGGTAGCTCTCTCTAGATCCTGTTGTACAAATCTTGAATGTCTCAGCTGACAGTCGGAATTTGCAGAGGTGTAAAGGTTTTGAAAACAACGGTTTCTACAAAGCTAGTGAATGTGGGAAGCAGAGGGAAGAGGAGAGACTCTGTAATTGCCTTGAGGAAAGTGTAGGTGAGTTTTTCCTGTCTAGTAAATGCAAGGAGACAGGCTAAGTTGTAAGAAACTTCACTTTGAGCTTAGGCTGCCCTTGAGACCAGTTGAAATGAAACAGTACTTGTCAACTCGCATGCTTGACAAAAATGCTTATCTACAATATAGTGTTCCCCAAATCTGTGTCTTATGAATGCCAAGAAAAATCTCATTGCCAATAGACATAATTCTTTCAGGTTTTAATGCTGACACTACAGAATGATCCTCCATCCTTGGAAACTGGTGTGCAAGACAAGGAGATGCTGAAGAAGTATGGGAAATCATTTAGGAAGATGATTTCATCATGCCTACAAAAAGACCCTGAAAAAAGGTAAGAACAGGTAACACCAAAATAAATTAAAACCACCCCAAAACACCCTACAACAAACCCACAAAACTCCTTGTATTCCTTATTTTTTTAAGTGGGTACGCTGTCTGCCTCTCTAGCCTTTCAGTCGCAATTAACACAGCAATCTTGCTGTGTGGCTGCAAATTCTCTTGGCTGTCCTTATTTTTATGGATAAATGTCTGGCATCATGCCTGGCCCAGGCCCACATCCTCCATTTGGGTTAATGAGAGTGCATCCCAGTTCACTGTGTCTGTAGTGCCTTTTTTACCCCTTGCCACCTCCAGCAGGTGACTGCACTTCATGTTTTGTTCCTAGTCAAAACAGCTCTGTGTTTTACCCATTGGGCAATATGTTTTACTTGTGAAGCTTCAGAAATAAACTTAAAATTTGCCAGTGCAAAGAAGGCTTTCAGTGTAGTTTTGACTTGCTTAATTATAAGTAATACTTGGTTTGGGGGTGGAAATTGGGAAAAACACTGGCAAATATTATTCACATGTTTTCATTAATACAGATTGCTTAAGTGACCTGATGACACTTTGTTCTTCCACGTAACAGTAGTTTGACTGCTCAGTGATGTTAGAAATACTACCACAGGATAACATTGTATCGTAATGTTGTAGCCTTGTTCCAAACTGCCCAAGGGTCTGCTGTCTACAGCACTGTTTAAAACCCCCAGCCTGTCACATAGGGTAGCACAAAGTTATTTCTGTGGAGGACACTCATAGTACTTGCCAGTCTGTGAAGCTGTTTAAAAGAGTGTTCACCCTACATTAAAAAATAGTGTTCCTTAAAATGCAAAGGTAAAGAAACAATCATTCCCACAGATCAGTTTTTATATCCCTTGGTTTTCCTCCCCCCGCTGTAAGCAAACTAATTCTGGAAAGGAAGAAAGTCCCTTTGTAAAATAAATAATAAAGACATTTTTCAGTTCCCTCTTATGAAAGATTCAGGAACAAAGGCTTCTCACGCATTGTGAGATGGGATCTCTCTCTTCTAACAAGCTTTACACTTGAAATGCTTAATGAATTAGTGGAGTGCTTGATAAATGCTGATAGCAGGGGTTTTTTTTCTCCTTTCTAAAGCATATCCTATCCCTGCAGGTTAGAATGTGTGCTGATCAGAATTAGCCATAATCACTTAGCATCATGGCATACCTCTCTTCTCAAGCACCACTAACAGCCACTGTCATCATCCTGACTGTGGAAGCAGGAAGTTGGCCCATAAAGAGCAGCATCAAATATGCATATTGAATGGGTTCTCAAAGAGGAGAATTTAGTGCAGTTTTTAATTCTTTTTGGGGCTCCCTTGCTATAAACTGGATGATTTTTGTTAGGCTAAGGTGAAATAAACCCTGTGACAAATGGCCTTTGCAAGTCACTAATTAAACTCTGTTACCACTTAAGCACATTTTGCAGTGTGGGAAATGCTGTAACCTGGTACTTCTCATGTAGGTCTGTGTCTTTAGAAAGCTCCTTCTAAACTCTAAACTGACTGAGGGATGTCTTCTACTTTCCAATATTAATCCTGAAGTCTGCCTTAAAGGGGGAAATAGTTGTTCCTTTTCTATTAGACAAAAGTTGATTGTTATGCCTGTGTTTGATAGAATTAATTACACAGATAACCAAGTATCTTTGAAATAACTATTACATGGTGAGTACTGCTGCACTCCTGCTGTAGGTGATGATCCTCCACTTCAATTTTAAACAAGTTTTCTCTGTGATCCTATCAAACTGGCTCTAAGAGACTCAAGTTCAGCATCAAAATGGGAGCAACTTCTCCCCCCTGCCCAGAAGTTATTTACTGTTTTTGAACAGAATATACAGTGAGTATTTAAGACTGCTGGTGTAGAACTTATTTGGAATAAATTGACTGATTTTTAGGGCAATTTTGCAGGAGAAGCTGATGCTGTTACAAGATGCCATGTTACAACAAGCTGCAGCAACCTGGAAGACCGTTGTGTTGAAAGGGAGCATTTATAATTGTCTTTTCTACATCTGTTTTTATTGACAGACCGACAGCAGCAGAACTCTTAAGACACAAATTTTTCACGAAAGCAAAGGTAAGAAAACACTTCCTAAACTGATCTGTGCAGAGGCTGTGGAGAGGACTTTTCAGAAGTATGATAGGTATGGTGACAGCTTTATTGGCACGAGTGTGGGCTGTTTCACTTAGGGCCAGCATAGCTGAGTGTATTGAATGGGTCATTGTGAACGGACAAAATGAAACCCCTCTTCTGTACCTCCCTGTGTATGCTGCCATTAAGAGAAATTATCTAGCAGTTCTCAAACATTTAAATGTCTTTCAGTGGCCTTTGGGGTTTTTTTCTTCTCTTTTAATGGTGCCATTCTGGCTGCCTCTCTAACCATAAAGGTCTCTGTGGCAGTAAAAGTAACGTACATTTTAGTAAATTCTATAATCAGTCTGTATGCAAAGCAGGAAATGAGACCCACTGTGCAGAGAACTACCAAAAACTTACCACCCTCTGTAACGTTATGGAAAGTGAAGCTCCTGTGGTACAAAATAGCAGGAAACTCCCATTTTTAGCCTTGAAATGAACTGCCAGTGAGCATTTATATAATTACTGACTGGAGATTAGTGCATATGTAACATACAAGGTCTTATTGAGGGAGACAGAAATAGTACAAGGGAGAATTTGTATTTCCATGGGAATGAGGAAATGTTTTCTGTTTGCTTATTTTTTTTCTGTGGCATGTTTGTGATCAAAATGCATGGTTTTCATAGCAGAACATAGAGCTGCCAAAAAAAATAATCTGATACCTGGGATAGCACAGCAGCATTACCAATTAATCAAAGTAAGTTTTAGCTCCCAGATTAAGATGCTTAAAAGGAAGTGGCCACATCTAAGTACTTGTACGGATGTCCTGCTG